ATTTACATACCTGGAAATAGATCACTTACTATTGCATTAAATAAAGGAATATCATGAGACAAGAATTTTGGTAAATTACTCTCCCTCATAGCTCTAATCAAGACAATATCTTCATTAATGTTTGGTTCTGCTCTTTTTAATGATCCAGCCATTACTAAAACAGATTTGACTGCTCTCATACCAAAATCATAATGATCTTGCTGACTTAATTACTCTGAACTTAATTGATACAATTTAACCATCTTTCTTGATAAATCTTTGGCATTTGAAAATCCTTCAGCATACAACATAATCTCAGCAATCAATCTATAATCTGGAACCATCATAGCTACTGGTCTAAAAAGTACTTTCAAATTATCAGGTAATTCTGTTCTACCAGCATAACCAGGATTCATTGTAATAAATATACCCAAATCAGGATTCAATTATACATTTTTACCAAAGAAATAAAAATTCATTTTATATTCTAACAAAGCTTCTCTTATAGTTTATACTTATTGTGCTATGACTGATAATACTTCAATATAGATTCTGTTAAATTCATCTAAACAAACCCAGGCTCCACAATATGCCAATCCTGCAAATAGTTTTTCCATCATTTTAGCAGTAATTTAATCTGAACAATTAAATACTATACAATATCTTCCCAAAGCTTTGGCTAAATCTTTACATGATTCTGTTTTTCCAGTACCAGCTGGACCTTATGGTGCTGCTCCTAATTTGATACCCAAAGCTCCTGTTATAGTCATCCAACATCTATCAGTTAAAGGAGTAATAACCAATCTTGTAGTTGATCCCAAAAATTCATAGCCATACATTAATTTTGCATTAACTTATTTAGCATGCACACTTTCTTCATCATGATAAAATCTCAATTATTATTACCATTTGAAATCCATTATACCTTCTACAGATTCATTTCTCATATTATCTACAATATCTCTGAAATGAACATCTTATGTAACTAATGCTACAAGAGTTCTTCTTTATAATTCAGTAAGATTTCCTCTGATTAATAATGTCAATTCATCAAGCATTGAAACATTAGCATCAAACCAATCATCCAAATCACCTTCTGCATCTGCTTATAAATAATTTTCTTCAGTTATTTTAGTCCAAAATATAGAATCAATAGTAATAATAATTTATAATGGAAATTCAAATACCCAATCTTTTCTTTATGTATCTTCTAATTAATATTTAATTAAAGATTATCTCATGACACCACTTAATGATGATTTCATTTTATCCTCTAAAGCTTTTAACCAATCTTCCACTTCTCCTCTTGCTGAATATCCCTTAAGTACAGCAATTTCTCCTTCAGCAGATATCATTCCAATAGCATTTTCTTATGAATCAAACTGAATTTTTACTAAGTTTTCAAAACACTTTCTTAAATATGGTTGAATAGCCTAAATATTTTTAGCATTTGATAATATTTCTAAAAGTTCATCATTTGATAAAAAGTAAAATCTTTAAAAAACATCTCTTTTCTTTTCTAAAAATTCATCCAAAGCTTTTTAAATAACATCAAAATTATTATTATTTTATCTTAATTAATTAAAATATAATCTATTTTAATAATCATCTGCCCATTTTCTAGCTATACTACTATCTCTAGCATTTCTCATTATTTTTTTCCATTGAGTATCAGCTTATTAAAATATTTTGGATTCCTTTGCTAAATTCTTAGCACTATATGGTGAATTCAAAATAGGTTCCAAATATAACCAATTTCTTTAATGTAACATCCATTCATCAAATAATTCCTAGAAATATCTTAATAAAGATTATTATCTTTCTACTTCAGGTCTAATACCTTCTACAAATCTTGATGCTAAAATATTATTGACAGTCAATAATGTATCATCAATTTTAGATATCAAATCTTCATTATTTCCTAAAATAAAAACATCTTTTGATTCTCTATATGGTTAAACTGTAATAACTGCTGATCTCCAAATAGATTCAACCTATTCTAACATTTTAACTAATTCTATTTCTTTTGCTGCTCTTAATGCAATTTCACTAAGTTTGTCTTTGACTTAATCTAACCCAGCCTATGTAATCCATGAAACATTATATTTAGGATCATTTATTGGTGTAAATGGTTCTAAGATTGGTTCTTTAAATAGCTATTAATTTTCAAGTATTAATGCTCTTATTTAATTCCATTATTTATCTGATATAGCAGGATCTTTTAATGCTTATAAAACTTAATAGACACCTCTGAAACCTTCAATATCTGATTTAAATACTCTAGCTACTTCATTTTTGTCTAATTCTTTGGCACATAAATTAGCTGCCTTTTATAATTTTTCCATTAGATTGTTCATATCATCTAAATTTATATCTGTATAATGTTATTTTAACCAAATTGAATAATTTGAAATCCATTCATTTCTTCCACACCACAATCTCTCTAATAAAGTAAATTCATTATTAAATGCTTCCAATTTTTCAAATGGTGTATATTCCATATTCAATGCTATTTAATAATCATTCAATTTTTTTGCATGAATTTTTAATTCATCTACTTATTTTCTTACTCCTTTAACAAATGTTACCATATCACCCAAATCTGCTGCTAAAGAACTCAATGGTTATTCTGAAAGTCTTTCATTTAAGTCTTTTACTGTATTATCTACTTATGGTATCATTCTTTCCATATCTTTTCTAAATTTATTTAAGTTTTAATCATAATTAGCCATGGCATCATCAACTTTTTTACGAAGTTAACTAACTTATTAATTACATTCTGCAAATTTTTATTTATGTTTATCTTGAATTTTAATACGTAATTCATCCATAAGTAATGCCATAGCTGTTACTTCTTATGAGACATTACTTAAATCTTCAAATTAGTTATTAATTACATTCACAGCCTCCATATAATTAACAAATTATTCTACTGTTATTGGTGATATAGCTATAGTTGAATATAATTAAGCTGTTTTTTAAGTAAAGAGTACTGCTTTCTTGTACATATAATCAGGTATAAATTTTTATAATTCTTAAATACAATTCATAGCACTGGATTTAATCTTGGCCTTTAATTTTTGATTATCAAACATAATCATTCCAATCTCTTGAGTAGGTTCTATATCTTAAAATTGTTGATCTTATTCTTTATATAAATTAATGGCATTTCTATATTCTTCTACTTCTTTATCAGCAAATTATTTTTCAATATTTACTCCTGTATTATCAACATACCATTTCATAAATGGTTTTAATTTTTCAGCATATGATTCTAAATAATCAAATGCAATTTCCAATTCTTTTCTCATTTAACCACATAAAATTTAGAAATTCTCACTTCCATTTATTATTGCTTTAACATCTACTTTTTCTGATTGTTAATTGCTTTCATCTTAAATATAATGCTATAATTCTGGCATAGACAACATTTCTCTATGTCTTGTAGTTATACGAATAACACTATTAGTAACAACACTTTCAAATATTCTAAATAATTATTCTCTCACAGGATTAAAAACTATTTCTTCCTATTTACCAATTGCCTCAATAATTATCCAACATTATGGTTAACCTTTACCATAATATCCTTTTCTTTTTACTCCTGAACTCTCTTTATATTATTCATTAAATTCACGAATCTATTTAACAATGTGTTCAACTGAATTTTACATCATCTATAATTTAGCATCTATTATGATATAATCAACATATTTCACAAATTTTCTTAATCTTTTATAATGAGTTCTTATAGTAGCTTCGGTTGTGTATGGCATATCTTTTCCTGATTCATCTCCTACTAATAATGGAGCTCTCTCTTCATTATCATCTTCATGAAGAGGAATACGATGAATTTCTTTAAAATTGACTAAAGATTTTTAACAGCATTCCACAATTATTTATTTAATCTATTATTCATATGAATCAAATTTAATATCCATTATAGACATTAAATGTTTATCTTACAATTATTTAAAATTTTCATGAGTTTATGGAACTGTAGTTGAAGTATCTAAAAATCTTATATCTTAAGCCATTTATTAACATATCCTACGAACTTCTAATAATGTGATTCTTAATTATTTGTCAGTTGAAAACATATTAGAAATCATTAAATCTTAATTTTTTGCAAGAATGTTTTTCCTCATTAATCTTTTCCATAAAAAGAAATTCTTCCATAATTTATATTTTCTAAAAAAATCTATTTTTTAAAGATCTTAATATAATTTAGCTTCTCTTTACCACTCCTCTATTGTTAAAAATGTAATCTCATCATTTTGGAAATATGTGATACCTCTTGCACTTATTGTCATATATTCTTTTGGATTTCTATCCTCAAATTCAACTATTTAATAATCATAGGCATGATCTCTTTTATTTAAATAACAGAACTCATCAGCCATTTCTGGATCAGTTCTTATCAAATAAATAAAATCCATAGGTGATAAATAGGATTATTATTACTGTTTCTTCTTAGGTTTTCTAAGTGCCTTCTTAATCATCTAGGTGTCTTTCTTTTTTTCAGGTTGTTACAGCAATCCAATGATAGAATCATTAATGGTTGAATTAGGGTTTTATACATCCTCTAAAATGCTCATTCCATGATCACTTAATAATCTATGACCAAGAGGTGACAAATTCTTGGGTTTCTTGAGTTAATCTTGTATTAAAATGTCACTTCTAAAGTCTTTAGTTATTAAATTATCATTTACTTTTTGTAGATTGATGTCCTGATCGATCAAGTAAAATTCTGCCATTTTATATGGTTACACCTAAAGCTGAGTGAGTTTAGGTTGTGGGCTCTAATCTTTATTTAGAAACCTTAGGCACCAATGAAGGCAAGGAGATTACCGAGAGCTGTTAAGTGAGTTTTCGTTCATTAGGATCATAACGATTAATATTTTTATAAAGCCGTCCTTTGAGCTACCCTTACGAAAGTTGTTCAAAATTGAAACGTTTATTATTGTCACTATCCATAATAAATAATTAATATATGGACACCGATTTATAAATATTTAAATATGTTAATATTAATCGAGACTCCAGCTGGATTCGCTCTCTTTCAAGTAGCTAATATCAAAGCTCTTAATAAAATAGACAATATATATGATTACTTATAAAATGAAAAGTAAGCTAAAAAATTGTAAGCAAATCTATTGATATATTTTAAAGAATTACACCCTTTGCTTTTCAATAATTTAAGGATACATAAGAAGCTCTAGTGGCAACCAGTAAGTTGATCAATGGAAAAATTCCAAAGAAGCTAAGTAAATTTTTAGAGAAGAATGTAATCTCTTAAGAAGTTTAAGATTAAATAGCAGGTACAGTGAATTTATTAAACAACAGTCCAAGACAAAAAACTAGCCAAATAGCTCCAAGAATAACTAGGATTAAATTGCATTTAAACTCCTGTGACTGAACAATTATTTAGAGGAATTAGATCCTAATTAACTAATCTAATTGAAGGACTTAGTGAGTCAGAACTAAAAAATATGACTTTGGGTTTAGCACATGGATTATCCAGATATAAACTTAAGTTCTCTACTGAAAAAGTAGATACAATGATTATTCAAGCAATTGCTTTGCTTGATGATTTAGATAAAGAAATTAATAATTATATGATGAGATTGAGAGAATGGTTTGGTTGGCATTTTCCAGAACTTGGCAAAATAATAACAGATAATTTAATATATGCAAAAGTAGTCAAAGCTATAGGAATGAGAATAAAGACTAGTTCTACAGATCTCTCTGGTATTTTACCTGAGAATCTTGAAGCAGATGTTAAATAAGCAGCAGAAGTATCATTTGGTACAGAAATTACATAAGAGGATGAAAAATTTATTCTATGTCTTGCAGATTAAGTTATTGAATTAACTGAATATAGATTCTAATTATCTGAATATCTAAAAAATAGAATGTAAGCTATTGCACCTAATCTAACTACAATGGTAGGTGAATTAGTTGGTGCTCGATTGATTTCACATGCAGGTTCTCTTGTAAACTTAGCTAAATATCCAGCTTCTACAGTTCAAATTTTAGGAGCAGAAAAAGCATTATTTAAGGCTATCAGAACTAAACATAATACACCAAAATATGGTTTGATCTTTTAAGCTAGTTTAGTAGGAAGTGCTCCTGCTAAATTGAAAGGAAAAGTATCAAGAACATTAGCTGCAAAAACAGCATTATGTATTAGATATGATGCTTTAGGTATTAATAAATAATTTCAATTATTATAGGAGAGGGATAAGATGCTGAATTTGGAATTACTAATAAATTATTTTTAGAAAAAAGAGTTCATTAATTAGAAGAAGGAGTTAATTATAGAGATGTGAAGGCTCCTTAAAGAGGAAAAGCTAAACCTATTTAATCTCAAACATAATATTAAGAGGAAGCTGATTTTTAACCATAAGGTTCAAATTGGATGCAAAAATTCCAAAAGGGCGAAGATAAAAGACAAGCTTCTCAAGAAATAGTATAAAAAAGTTAACAAAAGAAGGTGAAATAATAATGAAAGTACATTTAAATCAACGAACTTCATCATTTAAGACATCTGAATCTTCATGATAGTAAATGTTACTCTAAGCAATTCTACTTGAACTTTCTTCTATGATTTACTATAATACAGGATTGGGATTTAGATTTCCTCTGTGCTATAATTGTTACTCTAAGACTCTCTAATCAACAATACTTAACAAATATCTAATTTTATCTTCTGCTATTTTCAAATCTTGTTCATATTTTTATTTAATTACTCTTTTCTCATTTTCTATTTAAATCAATCTCTAATTATCACTATGTTAAGAATTAATTCTTGATTTATTATATACATCCCTCTTCAAATTAGCTATTTCAATCAATAAAGTATTAATCTAGCCCTCATAACTAGCTTTCATATTTGCCTTTTTTTAAACATCTTCTTATAATTCCAAACATCTTTACTATAACATAGTTAATTCTATATTTTATTTATGCATATCATCTTATAATTATTTATATGATCTCTCTAATAAACTCTAAGAAGTTGCTGGAATCAATTAACCATTTTATATTTATTATGTTAATTAATCCAATGTATTTGCCTTCTCGTAGAGTTATCTTTCTAATTATTGTAATTTAATCTATTAATCTTACAACTTAATATTCTTATCAATAAGCATTGAATTCATTTTCTCTGTTTCTATATTATGTCTTTATAATTTCAATTTATCTATTTCATTTTATTTAGCTTCTAATAGATTATTAAGAGTAGCCACTTAATTCTCCATCTATACAATTGATGTAGCTACAGATTCTTTTATTTATCTCTATATATTTAATCTTTCCACTTAAATTTGTTAAGCATATTTTTCTTCTGCAATCCTTATTGTATTTTCATTAATTAATCTTTATGTATCAATTTGAGCCTATAATGCATCAATTTCTTCTAATTTTTAATTAAATATGTTCATATAATTAACTCTAATAGTTTCAATATCACTTTCTAAAATTTCACTTTTCTATCGATATTGATCTGCTTCTCTAAAACGTTCTTTCAATTCTTCTAATTCTTTATTCTTTTCATTTAAAAAGTGAAGTGCTTCCAACTTTTCAGATTTTATCTATTTAATAAAACTATCTAAATGAAAACATTTCTATCTTTCCTCTTATAATTCTTAAATCTTAGTCATCACTTATTATCTACTACTTTCACAATCCTATGCTTTCTACATTAAAAGTTAATTCAATTTTTCTATTTCACCTAACAATTATTCCATTTTTTCTTCATATCCCTTTATTGTTATAAATTGAACTCTATTGTATTTACTTCTCAAATCTTCTACTTCAATTGCCTTTTATTTTAAATTTTCTGTTAAATCTTCAAATTATTGATTTTAAGATCCAATATGAGCTTGTAATTCTTTTATCTTCTATTCTAATCCTAAACTTTTTAGTCTCCATTCTTCACATTCTATACTCTTCTATTATAAAGTCTAAGAAGATCTCTCTAATTCACTTGTTAGCATTTCTATTCGATATTCTACTTCCACTTAATCTGATTATTGCATGTGTCTGTTAAATAAAATTATAAATATAAATCAAAATTGTATTTACAAATATATCACCCCTATAATGGAGGTAGTTAAATACTTTAAGTCAACATTTTTCTTACTTCCTTTAACGCCAAACGTACATCTTCTGCTTTTTTCATAACAATTGATTTCAATATAGGACCTAATTCAGCTAAAGCAGTATCATTTTAATCGCTGTACCATGTTTTTATAAATATTCCATTTTCTGGTTAATTTTGAAAATTATCAGGAACATTATCAACAATTATACATTTTGAAAGATCTCTTCCTAATCTTGAGAGATCTTTTATAAATTAATTTGAATATTGCAAAGCATGTTATCTAAATAATCGATATGTTATATTTTTGTTTTTATCAACCTGATCTAAAACCCAATTAGCATAATCAGGTAAACCAGCTGTAAATACTACTAATTCATAAAATTAACTCATTTCTTGTAAGAATTAATGAGTAAAAGGACGAATTAAGAAGTGTCCTGTCTAATCAGTAAAATGTATTAAAGTTTCATCCATATCTAAAACCAAAGTATATGTTTTTGGATTTGTATAAGGTAGATAAGGTGAAGGAGCTACACAAATTAATGGTATTCCTAATAATCCCTAGTAACTTTATTAGATTGTGAAATAAAATGAAATAAATTCTTATAGATTTCGTAATGATTCCTTTATTGTATAATTTTAAAGACTTCTTAGGAATATAATTAAAAATTAATATAGATCCCTCTAACTTTTAGTTAAGGATTTATAAAGATTTTGTAATAATTCTATGTTCTATTTGATGTAAGTCCAATATTCATGCTTTTTAGAAATATTATTTTTCTTGTTTATATTGAATTATAATTAGGAATACAACTATAAATATAGAGGGTATTCAGGTTTATCTTTTAGTTTTTCTAATAAAATATCAGAGAGATGACTTAAATTTTAGATATTGTAAAGTAATATATTCTTAATATTACTAATACTACTTAAATAGAAATGGAGATCAAAAAAACAATTCACTAAAACAACAACCTAAAATATAAATAGAATTACTCCAACTCTTAAAATTAAAAATATTTATCTAATCTGTTTGACATGTTCTTGAAACAATTCTTCTAAATATTGAAATTCATTATTTTCAGTCAATTCCATGTATTAATTGATTTAATTTATTAGTTCTAGAGTAGTATTCTTACTTTATTAGTTTCAAACTCTTACTTTTTTCATTGAATTTAAAAGCTAATTCATGATATCATATATTTTAATGAAGATTCTTAGATTTTCTGCTAAAGTTTCTTCAGCATGATGCATAGGTTCCAAGGTTGCGAAAGCTTATGTTAAATTATCTTATTACATTCAGATCTGACATTAAACTCTAGTCCTTCTTTTCGATTTTTTCTAGGTGGAGTAGAAGCTCTTTATTCACCTTCTGCTTAAGATGTTTCTGATGCTAATTGCAAATTTGGTTTTTAAGGGGAACTCTTTTAAAGTTTGGCATCCTTAATTTCCATTCTTTTGAAACCCAAATCTGCTTCTAAAGCCTCTTCTAGCTTATTATCATTTAATTTTGGATTTTTAATTAGACGATTAAAGTCTAATGATTTTTTTGAACTTCTCATGACAGAAGATGGTTTAATTGGTTTTTATTCAATGATGGGAAATTAAGATTCTTTTGGATCTTTGGCCTAAAAGAATGATTGTATAACTACTTAAGAGATGGCTCTTGTAGGTCTGGTTTTTATTGTGGTTTAGTTTTTTCTCATAATTATAATAATTTGAAAAATATCAAAGTGATGATGATCTTTTCTTATTTGATACATTTTTAAATTCTATATTTTTGAGTCTTTCCTCAATCTTACATTTATTGTATAGAGAATAAGCAATCTCTCTTAAATTTTGAGATATGTTTGATTTTCGATGCTTTGCTGACATAGGTATACTCATCATAGTTTATAAAGTTTGTCTATTTTCTCTTGAACTTTCATATACTTAATCATTGGCTTCAAAATATTCTTTATAAGTAATGTATTATAAGTGTATCTTTTACCATTTTTATTCATATTTAGTTTGTGAATTAATTAAGATTTCATTAACACTTTCTAAATCAATAATTCTTCTTTCTAATTCACTTACTTAATCTTCCAAAGTTTTTGAGAGTAGAATTTCATCTTATAATTTCTATCTACATTAAGCAAGTTCTTTTTATAATGCTTTATTTTAGTCGCTTAATTAATTCAATTAGACACATAATTTATTTGGACTAGCAAACATATTTAAAGCATTGCCAGCTGATGGAGTTTAAGCTTTTTGCTAATTGTTTTTTACTTACTGTTAAAGTTTAAATGCTTTAACTTCTATCTCCTCTTTTTCTTCAATTTCCTCTTACTTTTATATGTTTAATTATTGTAATTTTTATGCCTTTGCTAAATCAAGTTTTGGTACAAACATATTAGAATTTTTTTAAAATTACACATTAACTTTAGCTGGCAATATTTCGACATAACTTGAATCATCAACTTTTGCACCTGATACTTATTTATTATCTTTAATGTTATATTGATTTTTAGGACTTTCATCATTACTTCTATCTGGAGATAGTATTGGAGGTGTATAATCTGATTTATTTTTTTATGCTTATTTTTGTAGAACATCAATCAGAATTTATATCTTATTCTTCTCATCTTTTAATTACTTATTTTCTTTAATTAATTAGCCTATCAACATTCTCATCTATTCTATTTAATTCAATACTGCAAATACATCTTCAGTTGGGGAAACCATCTTTAAACTAATATTTAGATTTCAATACTATCTTTTATTTAATCTTCTTTTTGCTCTAAAATTCAAACAATTTCTCAGTCAATGTAATCAATTATTGATCTTTCTCATTTAATTTTCTTTATAAATCTATTAATTGATTCTGTCTCTCCAATTAAAGTTCCATATTACGTTGATTTGAATCTTCACAAATTTATTCAAAGATTAAAGCCTTTAATAAATTACATAAATACTTAGCTTCTTGCTTCATCTCTTTATTTTGCAATTACTTCATTAAGAGCATATAATTAATTATTTTCTTCATACAATTAAGAAAATAATGATTAGAATCCTCTTTCAGAATTATTTTCACATTATTTTATATAGATATCCTCTTTTCTACTATTATTTGTACTTGGTTGCTTATAATATAGTTTCAAAATAGTACAGAATTAAATGTACATTCTTTTTGAATTTTTATCACTTCTTTGTTTAATAAGAGTAATTATCTGAGTTCTTTATTTTCTTCCTGAAGTTATCTTACTTCCTATTAAAGAAAATTCAATTTAGTTTCAAGTCCATCTTTATTCATAATATTAATAAAATAATCAATGCTTTTGCTATTTTAGTTATATGTAATCATTAAGAATCTTTTTCAGCCATCTCCAGCATTATTTTAAATCAGGTTTCTAGCTTGGAAAATGATTTATTGGATGACATTGAATTACTAGATCAACTATTGAATTTATGAACTTTGGTATTGAAGGATCTTTAATGCAACTTTCTAAACGTATTATCTCTTATTTTAGACTCTAATTTTCTTTATTCAGCAAACTACTTTCAATCAATTAATTTTGAAATTAGATCTCCTTCTCTTTCATTTTTTATTCAAATTCTTTTAATCTCTCTGTAAAATTATCTTATTGAAATTGTTTCTGTTCAGGCAAACGATTCATTAATAGTTTTTAATGAGCCCTCATTTCACTTATCATTTTCTCTTTGAACTCTAATTATTTTGTAAGTTAATCAACTTTCTTTCTAAGCACAGAAACTTCATCTCCACTAAATCTTTCAGCAATTGGACTTACTTGTTGCTGCTTTAAATATTGTGAATAGAATAATTAAGTCGAGGAATTAAGAGAGAGTTAACTAGTTTAACGATTCATTAATTTTTTTAAGAATTTTAATATTGTCTATAAAACAACAGCAATCTTGAATCTAGTCCAAACCTTCATATTTGAGAACTCACTGTATATTTCCATTTGTTTTATTTTATTTTAGTTTTTATAGTAATCTTATCCTTTATCTACGTTTTTGGTAGATTCACTAAACTAAAAGTCTTTATTTAAGAATATCAATTAAATCTTATTTTTCAATAGATTGATCTAAATTTTATATCATTTTTTTTAATATTATATTACAAATAACCTATAAATTTAAGCAAGAATGAAAAGAGCTTTTTTAATTAATTAATACGAAGTTAATAAAAAAAGGATACAATTTTAAAAGTATAATAATTATTTAATAAAGTTAAAAAAAGATATGAACTTTTATTTAATATTTAATATTCATTCTTAACCTGCACGATTTGATAATTTAGATTTACTCATATCTGTTATGATTCGATGAGAATTCATTTAATGTTTCTTCTTTTTTTCTTTTTCAATTTCTAAGAGTTATTATTGTCTCTTTTCTTCTGCTTCTTTTCTTAATTATTCACTCATTTTAATTAAATGTTCTTTTTCTACTTAAATTTACTAACTTTTAATCAAATCTTGCTTAATTCTTTATTCAAGTTATTCTTTTCTAAGTTCATCTAATTATTCACGTCTTTATAAATTATCTTATTTATCTAAATCTTTAATAAAGGCTATTGCTAATTTTCTTGTTAATTCCTCTTATTTCTCTTTTTCAATTCTTTCACATTTAACTTTAGCTTAATCTAATTTTTTTAATAATTCATTTTTATGTTATTCAGCTTATTATTCATTTCTAATTAAAACTTCATGAATCTTTCTTTCTTTCTCTTAAAATAATTTCTATTTTTCCATTTATAATGATTTTTATTCCTCTTCTTATTTTTTCTTTTTTAATTACAATTCCTGTTGTTTTTTTTCATAATCTTATATTTTTTTTCTCATCTATTCTTCATTTTATTTTAAAATCTTGTTTATTTCTTCTTATTTCATTTCTCCTTCTTTTTCTTTCTATTTTTTATATTCTTGCTATTATGTTTCAAAATATTATCTTTATTATTCAACAAATTTTTGTTTTTCTTCATAATCTAATCTTTTTTTATTCAATTATTCTTCATTTAATCTTCGAACCTATTCTAATTTAGCTTCTTATTCTAATCTTTCTTATTCTGCTCTCTCTATTCTTTTTAATCTCTCTTCTTCAAATTTTTATGATCTTCTTAAATCTTTCTCTTATAATTCTTTTAATCTAATATCTTAAATTTCTTATTAACGTTATAAGAATTATTCTCTATCTTACTAAATTTTTTTTTATTTTTCAATTCTTTATTCTTCTTTAAATTTATTTTCCTCTTTTCTCCTTCTCTCTAATTCTTCTTCTCTCTATTTCCTTTTTTAATCTTTAATTTTATATTATTCTTCTAATTCTAATTAAATTCTCTTTTCTTCTTCTTCCTTTTTTCTTCTTTCTTCTTCCAATTATAATCTTTTTTTTTCTGCCTATTCTTTTTACCATTAAATTTTCAATTCTCTTTATTTTTCCTTTTCTTATATTCTTTTTTCTTTTTCAGCATTATTTCTAGTCAATTCTTCCATTTTCTATTCTGAATTAATTATTTTTTCTATTTCTAATTCTTACCTTTTGCGAATGCTACTTAATAGTTTCTCACGTTTTTCAGCTAAAGATGAAGTACTTCTGAAAACACTAGAGTTAGACATCTAATTAGGCCATAGTCCTTGTGATTCTTCCTACAGGATTTTTTGTCTCATCTGACGTACAAGTTATATCTTCTATCGGCGTTTTTCCTCAAAATGATCGAATACCATTTATATAACATCCTCGTTTGCCAATTAGCCTTTAGAAAATCAATGTTCATTACCTGATGGATCCTTTTATTTCAACATATATATAATCAGGTCTTTGCTTTTTTCTATTAAATCCTCCTTCTTAAATCCTTCTCTTTTGCATGCTTCTTTCATTCTAGGGGTAAATGAATTAGCATCGATATTTTCTTCATCAAATTACTCTTCACCCTCTGGATTACTTTCTTATTGCTATTTATTATTTTGCTAGTCCCTATTTTATTTTTAAGGGGAATTGTCTTATTGTTTAACGTTTGAGTTTTATTATTAAACATTTTTTTCAGTCTCTTAAGGTTCATTTTATTAATGTTCTTCTTCAGTTTCATTATAATTATTTCCTTCTTAATTATTTTCCATTTGTATTTTATTAATATGTATTTTAATATTAATATTTCGTTTAACAAATAATAAAGTGAAAATTCAGTAGATATTTAATATCTTAACATATAAGATAAATGATGATCAATACATATTTGAATATTTATTTTAATAATTATAAAAGTTAAAGAATTTTTTCAAAATAAGTTAAAGAAATTTAAGAGAAACATAATCTATTTTAGATAATATATTCATATGTTAATAAATTTATTTTATTCTTAAGATAATATAAATAAATGAATTAAAATTAAAACTTTCAAAACAATTTGAATCTCTTTCCAGAAATTGGAACACATGGTGCTAGAGGAAAGGTAAATTATATATTTAATAATTAAGTAATATGGTGGTAACAACATTACAATGAGAGGGACTGAAATCTTTGAAGGTTTAACAAGTGGAAGACCTTCTAAAAATATTATTTAAGCTCATTTCAAAGTGTTGAGATTTTATAGAAAAGTGTGTCGACTAATTCCATTTTTATTAAGAATTCATGATTTAGAAGTCACTTGTAATTCATAATAAGCTATGCTTAATGTTGCTAATGTAATCAGAAAGAGAGCATACTTAAGAGATCCTGATGCTGTAGATAGATGGGTATCATGCATATCTATAAATATAGGTATATCGTGGATATGAATTACTCTACCAAGCTGAATGGCATATGTTAAATAGAGATCATTTATTCCAATATTTTGCTAATCAAAATAGATCTGATGCAGGATATTCTTATTTAGAAAATTAAAAGCTTAAAGGGAAGAGTGAATTCTTAAAAGATTTCTATATTGGAAATAAAACATATGAATATTGAAAATATATTCAGCTAAAAAAGAACAGCATAATTATACAAAACAAGAAACTATATAATTTTAATAATATTGCAATATTTTTATTATCTTGTATCGTCTATTCATTATATATCAAGGATTAGCCTATGATTCTCCTTTTAAAGTTGAATTCAATTATTCCATACTCAAAAAACCTGATTCAGATTCATTTTGTTTAGGATCTGCTTTTTATTATTGTCCAGAACCTTAACTCTATTATTTCTCTTATCTTAACTTATCAAGATTTAGTCTATGTGTATTTCCTGGAGTGTATTATGGACTAGATTTCCTACTTCCTTATTTAGGTTTTTGTTAAGAAAGTCTTATGGGTTTCTCTGGATTCCAATCTTAAAGTGTTTAAGGTTTGGTTCTATATTGAGTTAGTTTTTGATTCTAAAAATCATCTAATTTATATCTTAATTAAATTTATTGAATACCTAATATTTTAGAGTCGTTTGGAAATATTAGTAGATTCAGGTTCTAATTCTTAAGGTTCTCTTTTTTATTACTAATTTTTGAAATATTTTCTAAAATTTGGAAAACCAGTCAGTCCTCTTTAATCAGTAGAATATGATGGTCTATCATAATCTCTAGCATATCTTGGTTCTTATCTTAATGATTATTCTCTTTCATTTTAAAATAGATCTGAAATATATGATTATAAATCTCCTCTCATTCTATTAGATTTGTGAGATCTTCTTTCACTTTCTCTTTCTTCATTAGGACTATTCTTCAATTATTATTATTATGTAACTGGTGGATTTCTAAGAAACTATTATCCTTTGGTAGGAGATATTTAAACTTAAGACTCATAAATAAAAGATTATTTATTTTAATTGGCTGTTGATAATCTACTAGTTTATAATTGTGAACTGGATATATTTAAATTTATTTTGCTTTTTTATAAAGCATTAGTAGAACCATCTAAATAACTTACTTTCTTTTTTTTATTTTAGATTTAACTATCCTCAGATCCTTCTGGATTTTATTTTTATTATAATTTGTTAATCTATAATTCAGAAGCTTTGATTTCAGATTTCTTTTATAAAATTTTATTGAAACAATCAGATTCATTTTATATAATATCTGTTTTCTCTTTTTGTTATTATTAACTTCCTTATACTAAAGTATCCAATTTTTCTTATAATTATTCTAAATTATCACAATTTTGGATAATATTTAATATTTTTTTATTCTTCTAAGCTTCTAATTGTTTAATTCCATCTTTATCTTTTTGTTCTAATATATTTAATAATTCCAATTTCTCTTCAATCATTTATAATTTATGTTCATTTTATTTTGCTTAATATTCCCATTGTTCCCAACATTTGATGAAGTTATCTTCATTAAGACTTGTATCTTTAAATACATTTGTTCTAAAAGATAAGGTTAATATTTACAAATCTAATCCTTTTGAATAATCTGCAAGATCTTCTATTGATAATGTTTCTTTTCCTTCTTTTTTTAATGCTTTAAAAGCTTCAGTAGGATTCTTAAATTTTGATGATAAATTCTTTTTTAAAGAACACCAAATTTTTAGAGTTGTCTAACTGGCTTCAATTTCATCTTTTTATTTTGTTAGCTGCTCTATTTCAGACATAAATTTTATTGTAAAATATTTGTATATATATTTGTGAGCTTTATTATATTATTTTATAATGACTAAATTCTCTACAATATTAGTATTTCAATATAGAATTTATTAATAATGAATGAACTAGGTAAAATATAAGGATAAATTAAATCATTACAATTTATTTACTCTCAACCTTATAATTTATGTTAATTATTCATTTAAAATATCATTTGATAAATAATTCAATTCATTTATACTTTGGATTCTACAAGACAGTTGAAAGTTTCCTTAAAAAGCTCTTAAATAATGATAATTTATCCAATATATTTAAATAAATTAATAAGATTAAGTAAAAACTGAAATTTGATATCTAAAATAATTATCTTGTATTTTTAGGATCCTTACAATTGAATTTATATTAATAA